CGCCTTAGGATTTGGCAGCTAGTATTTATTCTTCACCACCACCGCCTCCCTCGGCTGCTTACGGAGGCCAAGGCCGATTTTGATCCCTCGGCGGCTGCTGGGCCGGACTTTCCAGGCTTCCGACCCCTCAAATCCCGGGGGATCGGAGCTCGGCTGGCACTGTGCAGATGGGTCCCCAAGTGCGTCTGTGTTAGATTCTAAGGGGAGGGGGGCGGGAGGCAGCGTGCGGGTCGGGTCTCCCAGCCCCCTGGAGGGAGAGCCCAGGAATGGGGAGTGGCGCGGGATGGTGGTGCGCGCGTTGAGCCGTGCGCCCAGTGTCGGTTCCAGTCGTGACCCCTCACTCAAGGCTGGTCCCCCGCTTTGTGTGCCCCCCCCCCCTTCAGCAGGCTGCCACGATGCCGCTCAACGTCAGCTTCGCCAGCAGGAATTACGACCTGGACTACGACTCCGTACAGCCCTATTTCTTCGACGAGGAGGAGAACTTCTACCAGCAGCAGCAGCAGAGCGAGTTGCAGCCGCCGGCACCCAGCGAGGATATCTGGAAGAAATTCGAGCTGCTGCCCACCCCGCCCCTGTCCCCAAGTCGCCGCTCCGGGCTCTGCTCGCCCTCCTACAACCTGGCCTTCGCGTCCTTCTCCCCCGGGGGAGACGACGGCGGTGGCGGCGGCGGCAGCTTTTCCACAGCGGACCAGTTGGAGATGGTGACCGAGCTGCTGGGGGGGGACATGGTGAACCAGAGCTTCATTTGCGACCCGGACGATGAGACCTTCATCAAAAACATCATCATCCAGGACTGTATGTGGAGCGGCTTCTCGGCTGCAGCCAAACTGGTCTCGGAGAAGCTGGCCTCCTACCAGGCTGCGCGCAAAGACAGCAGCTGCCAGAGCCCGGTCCGCGGCCACGACGCCTGCTCCACCTCCAGTCTGTACCTGCAGGACCTGAGCGCCGCCGCCTCTGAGTGCATCGACCCCTCCGTGGTCTTCCCCTACCCGCTCCACGAAGGCGGCTCGCCCAAGCCCTGCTCCTCGCCAGACTCCACCGCCTTCTCGTCCTCGGACTCCCTGCTCTCGGCCGAGTCCTCCCCACTGGCCAGCCCCGAGCCCCCAGCGCTCCACGAGGAGACACCCCCCACGACCAGCAGCGACTCTGGTAAGCCGGGCCTCTCCCACCCTGTTGCATGGCTGCGGCTCCGGCCAGTTCTCCCTAGCTTTCTCTGGTCTTGGATTTGGAAGAAGGGGCAGCTTTGAAAGGGTGTGTGTGGGAACTCTGCGCTTCTGCTCACTCGTGGGTTCCCCCACCCCCAGACCGCCCTGGTTGCCAGCACCCCCACCCCCACCTCTCCCGCCCCCCCACCCCCACCTCTCCCGCCCCTTAGGAATTCCGTTTGGGTTTTTAAGTCTTCTGGCTTATCATGCAATTGAATCCACTCCCTTTTACCTCTCTTAAGCATGTTAATTGCCCTGTGGAGGAGGGGGGAGCGGTGAATGAGGAAAGGGATTGATCTCAGTGAGAGTGAATGAACTGCAACCCTCTTCCCTGAACTTCTGAGAAGTTGTTGGGATTTAATGGGCTATGAATCTAGAAAAATAAAGAGGGAAGCAGGAGGCGGGCTGGCTTGGGATCCCCGAAGCCTACTTGAACACTTCAAAAAAGAACCTTTGCCAAAATGGAACTTCTTTTTTCCTCCCGCCTTAGGACTTTTTGGCAAAACTGCCAAGATATCCCCCCCTCCTTTTTTGCACTTCCAGTAAAATTGGGAGTGGCCAAAATCATACCAAAGAGATGTGCAGCTATCATTTGCAACACCTGAAGGCCTTGTGGTAAAGTCCCTTGAAAAATAGGAGGTGCTTGGGAATGTCTTTGCTTTGGGTGTGTCCAAAGCCTCATTAAGTCTTAGGTAAGAATTGGCATCTATGTTACATCCTGGTGGATTGTCGTTTTCTGGCCTGGGCTGTGACCCCAGCTGTCACTACCCCCGCCAGTGAGGATCTGGGGAGGTGACAAGGGCGATCTCTAGTTTGATTCCTTTCAGGGATCAAGCCAGTCCCTTGTGGTGAACCCCCCGGGACCAACATACAGCATTCTACTTACTGAGCATGAATTTAATCTGCTTATTGATTGCTTTTCGAGACCACTGCTAACCTGGTGCCTTTCCCATTTCCTTTCTTAAAGAGGAAGAACAAGAGGATGAGGAAATCGATGTTGTTTCTGTGGAAAAGAGGCAGCCCCCTGCCAAAAGGTCAGAAGGCGGGTCACCCCCTGCCAGAGGCCACAGCAAGCCTCCCCACAGCCCGCTGGTGCTCAAGAGGTGTCATGTCTCCACCCATCAGCACAACTACGCTGCCCCGCCCTCCACCCGGAGGGACTACCCGGCCGCCAAGAGGGCCAAGTTGGACAGTGGCAGGGTCCTGAAACAGATCAGCAACAACCGCAAATGTGCCAGCCCCAGGTCCTCAGACACGGAGGAGAACGACAAGAGGCGGACACATAACGTTTTGGAACGCCAGAGGAGGAACGAGCTGAAACGAAGCTTTTTCGCCCTCCGTGACCAGATCCCCGAGTTGGAAAACAATGAAAAGGCCCCCAAGGTGGTGATCCTTAAAAAAGCCACTGCGTACATCTTGGCCATCCAAGCTGAGGAACAGAGGCTCCTCTCGGAGAAGGACCTGTTGCGTAAACGGAGGGATCAGTTTAAACACAAACTCGAACAGCTACGGAACTCTTGCGCGTGTGCGTAAGGGGACCTGTGCTTGAAGGAACTGGAATCCTGAATTGTCACTAAGGAAAAAGTAAGGGGGAGGCTCCTTCTGACAGAACTGCGGCAATCCATTAGGAATGAACTTGCTTCCAGTGCATGGTCAACTGCAACCTCACAACCTTGGCTTGATCTTGGGACTGAAAGGTTTAGCCATAATGTAAACTGCCTCAAAATGGAACTCTGGGCATAAAAGAACGTTTTGTTGGTTTGTTTTTTATGCTTGCCATCTTTTTGTTTCTTGTTTTGTTTTCTGTAACAGATTTGTATTTAAGAATTGTTTTTTTAAGATTCTAAGGTTTACCCAATTTTCCTGTGTAAATATGGCCATTAAATGTAAATAACTTTAATAAAACATTTATAGCAGCTATATGAGATTTCAAACCATGTATTATAAACCATAATTTTTTTTTAATTTAAGTACCTTTTCCTTTTTAAAGTCGATTTTTTTCTATGGTTTTTAGAAAAAAAAATAAAATACTTGGCAAATATATAATTGAGCCAAATCTTAAATTGAGTGGTTTTTGTTTGTTTCTGGTTTTTGTTTTTGTTTTTTTGTTGTTGTTTTCTTAATCCCTTTCCTCCATTATAGAATTTAGCCCTTCCAAGAGTGGCTGACTTTACAAAGATGGCGAAAGGAGTTATTTTAAGAAAAGACCAGGGCTTTTCTGTTTTAAGATAGGTTGGGGGGTGGGGCAGGGAGCAGAGGGGAAACGTTAAAGTCTTTAAGTTCTAAGGGTAAGATGCTTCCTGGAGATTGGTGATAAGGGCCACAGAACCGAAGGGCAGGAGCAGGCTGGGCAGTGGGGTAGAGGTAGGAAGAGTTGGTGGGACGGGTGGAAGATAAGTTAGTATACAAAAGGGATTATTGACCTGGGGTGTGGGGCAAAGGTGGGATTGGAGATTCTTCCAACTGAGTTAAGCTAGGGCATTCCTTGGCTCTAATCACCCAGGAATTCTGCTCAGTGAGAGTGGGAGGGGGAAGGGTGGGCCTTCTTGGGTGATCCGTTAAGCTCACAGCTACTCTGAGGAATGTGAGTTTGAACCCTGATTTACAAACAAGGGAATATGTCTGCTCAGAGGGGTTGAGTAACTTACCTGAGGTCACACAGAGAAGTAAAAGGGAGAATCCAGGTTCTGTTTGTTAGAGCTGGATTGTGTAACACTCCACAATTATGCGCTGGCTCATCCTGTGTCCCAAGTGCTGAGGTCAGGAAATGCTTTTTCCGTCTTTGGGCCTGCTAGACTGATTGGAGCACTAATATTAATCCCTATTGGTGTGCTGGGCACGATTCTAAGCATTTATATTAATTCCATGATAACCCTAGGATTCCTCCCACATTTCAGGGGAAGCACACACATCTGTTTGCCTACAGTCCCCTGACACCAAAACAAAAAGAAGCCTGGGTTCAAACCTAGGCTGCCCTTACCCTGTGCTGGATTGCCTTCCAAAGGGCTGGAGGACATTTCTGTCAATCAGAGGAACAGAGGGGTCTGATTATGACCGCCTGAGCTTTCCACATTTCCGTCAGGCCTCGATTTGTTTTGTTTTGTTCCCATGTTTGTTTATTTGCTTGCTTTTCTTGGTGGTTCACAGTCTTGTTCATTTTCTTTCCACATTAGGATGTCTGTTGCCCATTCATTCCTGCCTTAGCCATTTGTTAAATGAGACTTCACTGGTTGACCTGGGAGGAAGCCAGTGGGAATGAATGCTCCTGTACAGATCATAAAATAAAACCTGACTACCCTTTTGTCACCAGTGTGGTTATTTTGCAAACTACCAACTCCTCTCCCAATCTCCTTCACACGCAGACGCTTCTGGCACTTGCCCTCTGGGTCCATGAAGAAGCATTTTGGGGTGTAGATACTCTTCACTTGAAGCCTCTTAAGAACCCACAGCCCGAACCAGAAACTCATCCAGTGCTGATTAAATGGAAGTCGTCAGAGCTGTCATAATGGCCTCATTGTCTCTTTCCTTGAGGTTTTAATCCACCATCACCCAAAAAATCAATAAATAATTACAGGTCTCTGGTTCTGACCCTTAGTGGTCTATTCAAGCCTCTGATGCCTTTTTCTTGATCTCTTTTTGGGCCCTAGATCCTGCCCTAATGGCTCCAAGCTGTTCCCCCCTCTAGCCTAGATTCAAAGGGAGATGCCATCCACAGAAGTGGAGCAGTTCAAAGTTAGAAAGGCGGGGGCGACCCGAGCGGTTCCCTCGGGCCCCTTTGTGGCCCCGGGCTGGACTGCAGCCCTAAGATGACTCACTTGGGAACAGAGAAGGTGTGAGCTGGAATCACTGAGTCTGGGCAAGCCCGTGGAATGGGAGAGAATGTTCCTCACTAGGAAAAACAACCCCACCCCCTTCCCAAAGATCAGGAAAAGACTTCTTCGGAGATGGGAAGCTAGGCTATGGGGCATGCGGGGATGCCATCCCAACCAGCCCTTAGACCCCACGTCCTCTTGGCTTTGAGGAGCCAGAGAAGGGTCTGAAAATGGGACCCATGCCAACTCCTTGCCAGTTAGGCGGGTGGCTCTTGACTGAAATATAAATTGGCCCTCATGGCCCCAGCTCATCCAGAATCCCAGGGGTGTGGGTCTCTGTGCAATCCCCATAGCAGATGACAGTAATCAAGAGTTTGAGACGGGAGGGGCAAGGGTGATGATCTGCAGGGTGCTCAGGAACAGAAAAGGCAAGGGGAAAAAGGAAACGTGCTCAAGATGGACAATACCTCGGACCCAAGACCATCTTCTGGAAGTCACAACTCCTCCAGAGGATGCCTGCGGGTGGTTTTCATCCTAGGGATGAAATGTCTAAAGAGGAAGTAAATGTTTTTTCGTGTTGCCGTGTTGAAGCCACCGAGGAGATCGCGTGGCCAAAAACAATCAGATTCTCAAATGGACAGCGTTTCCATGGCCCATGCCTAAGTGCGTGTGTGGGAGGCAGCGTTCTCGACTGGGCTTTAGGACAAACAGCCTCCCTGGTGCACAATTTGGGGCAAAGGTCAATAGTGGCACGTGAAGGTATTTTTCTGGAGCTCATCGGTAATCACCTCCACGTGGCTGGCTGAATTGTTTTTTTAGGATGCCCACTCTGGGCCTGGACGTCTTTCTCTCCAGGAGTCATATCCAGAGCTGGAAAATCCCACAGGGTGCCTTTGAACACTGTCTATAAAGGTTTGCCCAAAGGCTCCTTCTTTGAGGTTACAGGTCAGCTTTAAAGGAGATCACACCAAAGTGACTGAACGGATTCATTCCAACTTGCAGTGATCCTGTAGTTTCAGAACTGGAATCCACGCCGGCATCCTGGAAGTAGATGGGCAAGTCTTTCTCCCCAAAGTGGCTAATGGGTTCAAACAGCAGGTCGTTCAGGTAGCAGCTGAGTGTCTGTGCCCCCAGAACTCCTGCTCCAAAGGAGGAGAGAAGAAACGGAGCTGAAAGGATGAGAACCGGGACCCCTCTGAGAAACACCACCACTAGTCCAAGCCTCTGGCACCCACCACTGAAGCTGCGTCCATCACCCTGCTCTGCCCAGCTCCTCTGGGGACAGAGGGACAATGAGCTCTGACTGTGGAAGAAAGATCCGAGGATTGTTCGTGGTGAGGCTCCACACCACTGAGTAAGCATCTGTTCCTTGTGTTTAGTTCTATGGCGTTCCAGAGAAGGAGGAGACTTTCTACTCCTGTAAAGATGTGCAGTCTGGGAAGCCCACAGGGGCGTTACTCTGTCCTACTGGTTCAATAGGAGTCGGAATCCATTTGATGGCAGGAAGGGATTTTTGTTTGTTTGTTTGTTTGTTTGTTTATTGTTCTGGGGTGTTTTTTTTCATTCAATATTGTGATTGTTGTATGCTATCAAGTCATTCTGGCTCATGGGAAACCTAAGTGACGGAGAAGGACCACCCCACCCCTGCCCCCCGCCCCCGCCCCCTAGCTGCATTCTTTATGGGACGTCCCATCTAAATGCTTTAGGAAGCCACGGTTGTTGGGGGGGGCAGGGGAGGGGAAAACAAGTGTTAATGGAATGTAGAACTTCAGAGGTTAAAGGAATGTTCTTTGTTTTTAAACAAAGCCTGCCACAATCCCCCCATCCCCCACTCTTTCTTCCTATTGTTACCGCCGACAACCCATTAAGGGATAAACACTCCCAGGTAATCCTGCCGGCTGGTGGGGAGAGCTTGGAAAGAGACTGTTGGCGTTATTAAACACATCTACTATGTGCCGTACTTTGGACAAATTATCAGGAGAGACCAGTCAGTCCCTGGAAAAGGACATCATGCTTGGTCATCATCTTCCGTCATGGAATGGATGGACACAGTGGCTGCAAGCATAAGAATAATTGTGAGGGTGGGTGGTGCACGACTGGGCAGTGTGTCATTCTATTGTGCGTAGTAGGATCTCTGAATCTGAACCAAATCGACAGCACCTGACAACAACTACGTGCCATTCAGAGTGACACTACAGGACAGAGTAGAACTGCCCCTGTGGGTTTTGGAGACTAAGGAGAGAGCCTCTTCTTTCTCCCTCCGAGCTGCTGGTGGTTCCAAACTGCTGGCGTGGTGATTAGCAGTCTGACACTTCACCACGATGCCACCAGGCTGGCTATGAGTCCAAATCGCCTGGATGGCAGAGTTGAACTGAGCCCATGTGCAGCACCGTCAATCTGCCTGTTCTACCTGAGTGGCTTGAGGGTTGTTGTGATGCTGGAGTCTGATCACCAGGATGTTAAATACCAGCAAGGTCTACAATAATAATTTATAAATTAGCAAGGGTGCATGGGGGAGAGGGGAGGAGGAAGGGAGGGGGAGGGGGGAAAAGGAAAATGAGCTGATTCTGGGAACCCAAGAAGAAAGCGAATTTTGGGAATAATGAGGGCAACAAATGTATAGATGTGCTTTACACAATTGATCTATGTATTGTGATGAATTGTATGAGCCCCAATAAATTGATTTAAAAAAAATATATATCAGCAAGGTCACCCAACGTAGGCAGGTTTCCCCAGAATGTACAGACTAAGTAAGGACTGGGAATCTACTCCCTCTTGGGTGTCCCGTAGATGGGGGCCGGTCCACTCCATGCTGTAGGGTTGCTGTGAGTCAGAATGGTCCAGGGCACAGTGGGTTCCATTCGATCCTATGGAAAGCTCTTCACATGCCTTTTCTTGGGTCTTCTGGACAATCTACAGCTAAAACCCCTTGCCATCAAGTGGGTTCCCACGCACAGTGACCCTGTAGGGCAAAGTAGCACTGCGCCCAAGGGTTTCTCAAACTGTACCTCTTTGGGAGCAGACAGCCTCTTCTTTCTCCTGTGGAGCAACTGGTGGGTTTGAGCCACTAAATTTAAAGCTAGCAGGACAATGTTTAGCCCTCTGCACCAATAGGGCATATGAGATACCTTTTACAGATACCTGTTACCTGATACAGCATATAGGTATGCCTCATGGATAATTACTATGTATGCCCATTAAAAAAATTTT